GTAGATTGAAATATTTAATTTAAATTAATTTAATTTTAAATTCCAATTGCATAAATTTCTATGTCCTAAACGTAGGAAAATTATTTTAGTCTTTACTTTACGCTCATAATATTATTGCGTATTGTATAATTTTTGGTGTACCAAGAGAGAAGATAAGCTCTGGAACCTTTTCATTTCCAAAACAAGTTTAAAAATTGCAAATAATCCTCTAAAGTTTCACCATGCTTGGAACAACAGATCATAAAGCAAACGTCTTAGGGTATATCTCCGTTCGACTTTCATGTGTCATTTCCTTCTGTGTTGATTCTTGACATGTTTTTCCCCAATCAAAGATAATTTTCCCATTACTCATGTAAGATGCTCGAGTGCCACGCACCCTCCCACACCCACGCAGGCCCCTTCAGCCCACCGTCTTTCGATGCTGTCTCTGTCTGTCGCATTTAATTTGAAACGCTTTGGCGATGCTATCATCAGAGGTTGTCTCTGTCGCCGGGGCGCGACATGTTTCACCAATGCTGCAAATTATTTGCCCTACCCATCTCCGCGCGTCTCCAGCCCCACACCACTGTGTGATAACTCAGAAATCTATTTTGATAGAGGAAACAACAGCCTCCGCCATTGCTTTCGATGTCTTTGGACTGGCAGTTCCATTTGAATTTTCGGTGGCGGTTGCTGACACGAAGAAGAGCACACACAAAAAACTAGAACAAAAGAACACCGGAACTGTGCACTTTTCGAGCCCACATTCTCATCCGGAGGAGCGTTTCACTCATTGAAAGTTTTTTGCATTTTTTGACGCGTTGACGTTTTGCAAATTGAAAGTTTTCTCCTTCCCGACATACACACACAAAAGAATGCAATTCTTGTTGGTTTTCCTGCTTTCGGCATTGGTTTTGAGTGGTTCAGGTGTTTTAGGTATGTATAAGGCACCTGCTGCTGCTGCTGCCTGGTTTTCTGTTGGCCATAAATCACACGGCACTAAGCCATGGCACCCGTCCGTTCATATGCTAATTGATTGACCCCAAAAAAGCGTTGCTCAAACGCAACGTTGAACCCTGCCAGGGGCCCAGGCAGTTCGGATTATTCATCCGTCTGATAACAAACTGCTGATAAGACCTGTCACGGTCACACTGTGCACAAGCCCACAACTAACCCAAGGTCGTCGTCATGTGTGTGTCTGTTTGTCTATCTGTGTGTGTGTTTGCTTTTCCTCAGCTCTGCGCTGCTACACCTGTCAGGACTGCGATGAGACGGCCAAGCTGAGCGAGATGGAGGTGTGCAGTGGCTCGCCCACGTCTGCGAATGGTGGTGGAATGTTGATTTCTGCCAGTCCCATCCAGAACTCCAGCGTGGGTCCAGCCAGTCCTGCTGCCGGTCCGGCTGCCATTCCAGGAAATGGCCCAGCCCCCGCACCAGCCCCAGCTGCTGCTCTGCCTGCTGTTGCTGCTTCTAGTGGTAGCGAGGACGAGGATGAGGACTACGACAGCGATGAGTCAGCTCCGAAGGCGCCACTATCCCCCATAGGAATTGGAGCAGCTGCTGCAGGAAATGGCGTTGGAGGAGCAGCAGCTGGAGGTGGAGGTGGAGGAGGAACTGGAGCAGCAGTTGGGACAGGAGTGGGCACGGGAGCTGTTTCAGGTGGTGGCGCTCCTGCAGCCGGAACTCCAGCTCAGCCCGGCTCTGTGGACAGCGATGCTGACGAGGATGAAGACGAGGACGAGGACGAGGACGAAGATGAAGATGATCGACGCAGGCGTAGAACCGCCAGACAGGTGTCTGACATTGCCGTATGCTACACAGCCAGGCTCCAACGTAAGCATCGCCCTTATCCAGGCCATTCACATTGCTGCAACGATATTGATAAGATTACGCTGAATATCGATAAGTGAATCATCAGCCATGACAGCAGCAATGTGAATTGACTTTCACCAACACTTTATCAGTTTATCAGTTTATCAGTTTATCAGCTAAACCCTCATTGATATATCCAATCAGGTAACGACACAGTGATCACTAATCGCGGCTGCACCATGGCCAGGTCGGGCAATTCGACCACCAATGGCGCCTGCGATGCACTCTTCGAGAACTGGCGCGTGGTGGGGTGTACACTGTGCGAGGAGAATGGCTGCAATCAACCCATTGACATAAGCATCGGATCGATGAGTGGATCTGGCTCAAGGTCGACGTCCGCCCAGTGGACAATCTCAGCACTGACGCTGCTGGCGATTGTTGTGGCCTAAAGTGTGAAGCAAAATAATAATATACACAAAATATATGGCCTCAAAACAGAATTCCAAGTCAGAGTTAATTTTTGGAATCGCAGTTTGGCGATTTACGAGCGTTTTGATTTGATTTTTTCGTCTATTTATGGCCCACTTACGCCAATGTCTCATATAAGTGGCAGAAATTCGGAAGGCAATGAGCGCACCTAGGCTATTTTGGCATAATTGTTTAATTGGCATCGATAAGGAACATATTTCCCTTTGGGTTATTATTGTCGCTTCGTTGGGTGTATGGGAAAGTGCCCACTCATTGCGTGGCCCATCCATGTTCATTCAACCTGCAACTGTGTACTAGCCGGGCGAAAGCACTATCAAAATCGTATCAATTAGCTTCGAACGATAAGTCATCCATCGAGGCAGACTATGACGATGAGGTGGGTGCTCCCGCTCCGTATGCGGTTATGCGGTTAGAATTTTCAAATAGATTTCAGTGACTTCATGCAGCTCATAAACTGATAAATTGATCAACTGCCCAGAGCCTGACCATTTAGCCTGATAAGCGATAGGTAGTCGAGTGGCAATTGCTGCCTTAAATTTCAACAAGATTTATAGCGCCATAAGAGGACTACTGGACTACTGGACTACTGGACGGGGCTGAGAGAACTGTGATTGAGGCCCGATTTCTCAATCGGGCGATGAGCAACTGCGATGAGGAAGCTCGATGCCAGAGTGCGTTTTCGGAAAGGAAACTTGTTCTAAGCGAACAAAACGGTTAAATCAGCTGCCAAATTTGTGATACTGTTCATAACTTTCACATATATAGTATTTAATATCAAAGTGGATTGGGGCTGGGCTCGTGTTGGGGGCATTTTTTTCGCTTCCCCGTTTTATTTTCGTCAATGCTGCTGTTGCCACTCAACTTCCGGGCCTCAGTTGTGTAATGACGAACAGACGACATGCCCAAAAGGCTTTAAAATTCTCCGCTTGTCTTGGGGCTTTTTGTTGACGTTTCTGAACTCTAAAGAGCATTCTACTGGGCGCAGGTAGAGAAAGAGCGATATCGAGACTGACTTTTGTCACAGAGCAAGAGAATCGTCACTTAGCGCTTTACGTGATGTCGCCGACACTTGAATCGATATTTTATTCCACTTTTTTTGCTGAAGTTTCAGCATTTTTATCTCTGCGTCTGCTCTGCCCAGACGATGCGTCAGTTGTCTCAAGCGGCACTAAACAGATCTACTGACAATTTGGCACGAACCCACCCAGATGTATGATATATATGCAGATACTCGTAGAACGCACGATTTATGATCATCTCTCAGCCATCAGAAATTATTTCAGGGCCAATAGTTATAGCCGCTAAAAGAGAAAGAGAAACTAAATTGTGTGTTGCATTTATGCACTTTTTGTGGATTTATTACAGAGCAATGTAGAGCACCGAATTGAACTCTTAAATTTTTGATATAGTGTAATGCGAGCTTGTAGAAAATATTCGAAAAAAAAGAGTTAAGTCTTCTCAATTCAAAGCACCAAAAAATTGTGGATTACTTATGCAAATATCACGAAATTCGTTTCATCTTTTTGCATCTTTTTCAAATAGATTTCGACATGATTTCATATTGAAATGAAGAGATTGAGCTAAAATGTGTATAAGTAACATCAAGCTTTTATTCGTAATTAATCTAAAACAGTTTAGATCTCCCAAACTTGTCAATTTGTTCTTTTTCTTGTTTACAAATATATATTGTAGAAAATGTTCACACCTGATAAAAGTCACCTTATCAGTTGACCTCTATGTGACAGCTCAGTCTTCACCCTGTTTTTTTGTAGGTCAGTCTGGGAATTTAATTAACTTTCGAGTGAATTCGACCTTGATGCGCACTCGACTGGAACATTTCGTACTTCTATTGGCTCGTGCGGCTACAAAGTTCTTTCGCCCAAGCACCCCACACTCACTTCTCCCCCTCTGACGACAAGGTGTCAATAGGATGAGCCAATAATTATTGGCATCAAAATATCACTGTTAATTGTTTGTTTGCGTTGCGTGATACATTTTTGATATTGGATAATAATCATGCGACATCAACAAAGTTGATACTCAAGAAACGAAATTTATGCAAATTGCGAGCGAGTGTATAATCCATTATTTATCCCATTAAGAGTAAAATCAGCGTTTCCATTTGCTGACTAAGTACAAGTAGAGTATCTTTGCTCGACTTTGTGAATCTGCCTACTGAATCACTTACATGGGAAACACTTGCAGTGCCGACCCTACGAGAAGTAACCCTGGAGAATCGAAGAGGAAACAAAGGAAATTTAAGAAAGAAATGCTCCAAACACATCTGAATGTAATGAATGGGGTAGAAATAATCCCCGCAAACTGAATCATGTGAATGGGAAAGACCTGACAGCCAGGCAGCCAGGCAGCCGCTACCATGCCCGCACATATCGTTATGCAGAGAACTTAAGAGAAAAGAACCCTCGGGTAAGGTAGCGGAAGAGAAGCGCCACTCTCTTTCGGTTTTACTTTCAGACAATTAAAATTTTTGCGCGCTCGCCGCTTCTGCATTATAAATTAATTTGTTATCAATAAAGAAATGAAAAGTAAAACTTGTTTTACGGTCTCTCCGATCGCTCGCTCTCTCGCACTCTCTCGCTCTCCCTCAGCATTGGAGCCGCTGGCGCCCGTGCCGCAGTAGCAGCCGCAGTCGCAGTCGCAGTATAAAACTCTATAAAAAGTCTGAAACAAATCACAAGATTTTCAGTTAAATTTGAGAATTTGCAAACTGCGGTCGCCCCAGAAATCGCGAGAACAAAAGATACAAAAGTGCAAAAGTATAATACAACAATACCAATTAGTACATATACTATAACATCTGTGGGATTCAGATTTATATAAAATATATCCGAAATATATATTTTAAAATAAAACCAAACACACAGCACCACCATGACTAGCAGAAGTCACATCATTTTGGCCAGTTCCTTGCTGTTGTTGCTCACATTGCCAGGTAAGCATTTCACTACTCGAAGTTTCGGAAAGGCCATATTAGAATATCGAGAGAAGTGTCGTGATAAAATTTGATGGGTATTTCTTGAAGGAGAAGTGATATATCTGATAGCAGACTAAGACCCAAAGAGAAGCTAAAATATACATGAAAAGTGTCGTGATAATATCCCATATCAGACATCACACGATTCAGGGGAACTTAAAACACACATGAGATATCTTTTCGAAATAAATATATATATAAATAGATATCTGGAAAACCCATTCAAGTAAATCCGCCATCAGATAGTCAGCCCCAAAACCAGACTCTAGGCCCAACCAGCAGATCATATGATTTCTGATAAAAGGTCTTGTGGCTCTCTTTGATTGCCGCTGCCGCTATAAATAAATAAATGTGAATTTGTGTATCAGATTTTATTAGTACATAAATGTGCAGCGGCAAAACGAGCAATCGAAATGAAATTAAAATTCAAGATCATGAGGCGGTTTCGCCATCGAATTTTGCATATCAAACAGCGTTAGAAGCAACGTCCCAGGCCCAGACCCAGGCCCAAAGCCAACGCAGATGACATTAAAAAGAGCTAATTTATTTTGTTATTATTAAACTGTCATAAATAATGTAAAGATTGTTGCCAATTTGCGGTTATTTCAGTTTTCGATTGTGATGCGGAAATGTCATTCCATCCAACTGGAAATGTTCAGAGTCAGGCCCCTCCGCCCTTGCCACAAGTACTTTCAGATCCTCTCTAATTTATGGCTGAGATGAAAAGTCAGTCAGCTGCAGTTCGCGCAGCTTTCAAGTGGAAATGAACGAAAAACAATAATGAACAAATACAAAATATTTTTTTGACATTGAGCAGGCGAGCCAGAGCCAGAGCAAGAGCCAGCCTGTCCGCTAATTGAAAATGTTATAGTTACACTTAACACATTTTGCAGCAGCCACAGCAGCAGCAGCGGCCCGAAATGGAAAAACTTGTCTGGCCCATTAGCACCGCTTAGAAAATACTTACCTTACTCGTACCCAAATAGGGGAAAAAACCTGAAATTCTGTAATTTTTTTCACAGTTTCTAATCTGGGATTGTGAGGTGTTAGCCAGGTTCTCGAGGGGAAATTACCAAATGTACATTACCTGCAAAATACAGTATACTAGAAGGAAGATATATCAGAATGAATAAAAACAACGGAAATACAGATTTCCGCGCAATATTAATATTTAGAAATGTCCACACATTATATCCCAGATACACAGATATCTTATTGTTGGAATACCACATTCTGGCAGAAGCCAGTTTGCATTCATTAAAAGCGGATTTATTAATGAATTTAAAAAAAACAATATAATTTTGAGGAGAAGAAAGATTTCATTGTCTAAATAAAACTTGAAATTCTATCATTTTGGGAGCGGTGTTTTCACAAATGAATGAAATGTTTGCCAAAATATATATATATAATTTAAAATAAAAATAAAAGTAAAAGCAGTAAATGGTATAGGTTTAGGTTTAGGTGTTTAGGTGAGACATAAGGTCATATACGAATAGTGTATTATTTTAATGTAGGGCCACCAGATGCTAGGGAGATGCCTGTAAAGACGCAATAGAAACAATTACAAAAAACTTCAATGGAAGCTGCACTTTGGCACAAAGCTTAAGCTTAACAGCAAGTTTTAACGATCCAGAGAGTTTATTGACTTACATAAGTAGGTTCAGCTACAGGTACGAGTGCGATTACGTGTAGTAACCCCTCTAGAACTCTGAAAAGCTTAACAATTAAACAAGAATGAACGCTTGTTATGAATGAGAAAGTGAAAATTCCAGTATAGAGAGAAGAGGTTCGGTGACGCTTATCACGTGCTATTAAACCCCCAACAAGCTGTGGCTCACATTCGAAATTCTCTCCACCCCAAAAAGGCACCCATCAATCAAAATGACTTATGATAAATTAAAAATAATAAAAACAAAAAATTGTTTTAATTTAACAAATGGCAAAAGTTGTCCATCATTTTATCAAACAAAAAATGTCCAAATATTGGGATTTTTTATCTATGGGTAGAACAATCAAGTGAAATATTATCTAAAGGTAGAACAATCAAGTGGGGATTGTGTATATAGGTAGCTGAGTCAACAGGGGTTTATCCATAGGAAAAACACTTGGTCCTATCCATAAGAATATATTAAATTAGAGATTTAACATTTAAGAATTCCCTTAAGTATAGAAAGGGAGATGTATTAGGGGAACAACATTATCTAAAAGACTCTGTACGGAAATCTACAGAGAAACTAGAACATTTATTTACCTATGAACAGTTAATGCAGTCAGAATTGATCTTGACAAATTAATTTATGCTGAAAACATTCGGTGGGGGAATTAATCTCTAGGGACAGCAGTCAAGTGATGGCTTAGGCCTATTTGATCGTACGGGAGCCATTGTAATTGTGAGTCACCTGCTATCAACGCTGATAGTTCCGCATCCACATCCCCTGATAACACTATTAAGGCAATTATCGCAATGTACCCATCCCATTCCGATAAGTTTGTCTGCTTACCTGTTTGAGGCTGGCAAATATTTGTGCAAGAATTGCAAATGCAAATTGCTCTCTGTAGCTGGGTAGGGGTGGGGAAAATTCAAATGAAAAATTCCAACAAAGGTAATTACTGCCCAAGAACAAATAAACTTATGCTAAAGAATGGACAAATAATACGCCAAAGTCGCTGGTTTATAGATTCTGTTGATTTATGACCCTCACTTGATCCACTCCGCACCCTGTTATCGGTCTCTGTTTGCCCAAGCTATATATTGAGCACTTTTAACTGATAGATAGCTTTTTCTGGATAAGAATACATATATCAAAATTTGGGCAAGGCCCGAAAACACAGTATAGAATAAGGAAATGGGTGAAAAATTATAAATGAAACCTTTTTAAATGATGGATAGCATGGGTTTTTGGTACATAAAGATATAAAATATTAAGAAAAGGGAGAAGTAAAATGTGAATACCCTTACAAAAAGAGTGATACTAATTTATGTTAATTTTGATGCCATTTCCAGCCATCAATGCCGATCTCATGTGCTATGTTTGCGATGATTGTGCTATGCTGCAAAAGGACACACCACTCCTGGCCTGCAATGATGACTTTTTCAATCACGGCGGCAGCACTGAAGCCTCCACAGTGACCACCACCACCACTACAGAGGCGAGCACCACAACGACAGAGGAAAGTACGACTGTGCAGAGTACGTCCACAATGGACACAAGCACCCAGAGCACTACGGCAGAGACCACTGTCGCCACCACTGAGCCAACAACCACCACAGTGGAGACTACAACCCCGGAGCTGATCACAGAGAGCACTGCAAGCACAGAGGCGCCAGCACCAACACCACCAACAGCTGGACCCGTGGAGACCACCACTGGTTGGCCAACGCCACCCGCCGAGGATCTGTTGGCGCTGGCAGCCAGGAACACCACGCGTCTGGTGCCTGTGGAGACCGAGAGCACCACACCATCATTGGCCATCCGGCAGCGACGATCGCTGGTCGATACGGAGTACACCTTCCATTGCTACTCTGTGCAGGCGAAGGGTTAGTTGACCAAACACAAAGCAATCACTAAACCAAGGCTAATCATTCTCATTCCTATTTTTAGTCAATGGCACAATGATCACGGATCGCGGTTGCTCCCGCGTCGGCACCTATGAGGCCGTCTGCGAGCAGCTTCAACGCCAAAGCAACGGAACGGAGCTCTCCAACTGTGATCCCTGCAGCATGAATGCCTGCAACGGCAGCTCCGCGCTCCAGACATCGCTCCTGGGATCTCTGCTGCTGGCCATTGTAGCGGCTGCACTGCATCGCAACTAGAGATCAACTCATCATCATCATCACCCGGTGCTACAATTTAGTATTCCTCGTTTCTTTAAGACCCAACACACACCAACAAAAGACACACTCATAAGACAGCACTCATCGTTAAGTGATTCGAAATTTTATATAATTTTTAAGAGACACACAACAAACACAACAAACACACCGCACACACCAACATACACTCAAAACGAATATCGAAATATATGCAAATTTATTTGTATTAACTAATTAAAGCTAACCAAATGTGAAGCATAAGGAAAAACTTAATAAATTCTACTTAATATGTAATTTTTAAAGGAAAACAAATCACTGAAGAAAGTGAGAAACCTCATTTGAAAACAACTTTTAATCTATAGTAAACCGGAAATTGCATGAAATTTAAATCCATGAATAAATTTGCAACTTTCTAGCCACAACCTTCTAATGAACCAAAGAATCCAAAGAGCAAACTTGCAGATGACTATGGCGATAAATATCTTATCGGCAGTGCAAACAAATAAAACCCTTGCTTGATTTTCTATTGGCTCATTCAAAACAAAAGATTACAACCGAAATTAAGATAAATATTGGTGTGCTAAATGACTAGTCATTGGCAGTAATCTTATCTAATTCTTAGATGATTAATAAATAAATGCATTCTGCAAACACAAGACTGGGGACTTTTTTTGCACATTAATGGCAATGTCACGTATGCGTATACGTGATGGTACGGCTTGGATTTGTTGTGCAAACAGCCGCGATGACAGAACCAGAACCCACGCGGAGGCATACTTTTAGGCCATTTATGCTATACAAATTTACCCAGGGCAAACTCGAAACGAAAAAGTCCCAAAAAACGGAAAGCGGAAAAAGAAAAGAAAAAAATCAAACACAAGGCAACAACAAAGAATTCCCATCGATAAGATAAGACTTGATTATACAAATTTTGGCCACACTGAATGCAAACAAGCAGCGACCATGCGTAAATCATTAGGATATTTTTATGGCACCGATATAAGTACAACAGTGTCTGATAAGTTCAACTAATGTATTGAAGTAGCACAAGAAGGCGCACCACGCGCTCTAACATGGAATTCCCTTTCGGTAGAGCCATATCTCAAGTGTGTTACAGATTAAACTAAAAACTTACACGTAATTAGTAATGTCTCATGACTGATAATTCGATTAACAGTCGTCATAGATTGTCACTGGTTAGGGCTTATCAATAGCGAGCTCTGTATTGCGCAGGTCAAACATTTTGATCTATTCCCATAAATCTTTACTCTTTTCTATACCAAAGTTAGACGTTGCCCCCACACAGAAGTAAGTAAAGAAAAAGTACCAAGCACTGGTTGGTTTTTGATTAAAATTCTCATCTATTAGGTAGCTGTCCAAATAATAAAATGAATCATTGCAAATAAATGTTTTAATCGTTATGCGACCCAACTGATTTTGTTCTGGCTTCGTTCGTTTATCGAAATTTAGTTTGCAACTAAAACAGACACGTTTACTCGATTGTACATATATTTAGTTTATATATTTGCCTATCACATGTGGACGTTATATATTTATTTTCTCAAGTATTATTACTCAGCAACAGCCATAGAGCCTGGCCAGGATTTAGACGCCTTAGAAATCGATTAGTTTGATTAGATATCTGCATACCATACATTAAGTGCTAAGAGAGTCAGCGATTTTCTAGATATCTGTGTGCTGTCTGTATGCCGCCAAGGGGTCTCAAAGAGTGCAATATACGCGAATTTCTACGGCACCCATAAAGATTTTTGTCTAGTTTTTTTCCTCAAAACGTCAATTGCAATTAAGCGGGGAGTGCTTTATGTGTCATGGGCTTGGCCCTCTTTGAATGAGCCATAAAAATGCCAGAGGTCTGACAATTTGGCTAATTGTAAAACAATTATTGCAAAATGGATCTATATCTTATCGAATTATGAGTTCTACGAACTGGGATAATTCCAATTGCGGCGCAAATAAAGCCATAACCGAAACCACTCGAAGTTAACATCCTGAGGAAGTGAATGCCCAAAAAATCGGCAAATTTTCCCTATTGGCCCCATAAATATTGGCATTAAATGGTTTTTGTACGACCGCGTTATTGACAGGAAGGTGCCTCCCTCACGCACACTGCTGGCCAGATTAGGGGCAGTTCCTTGTGTCCACAACCTAGAACAATGGCAATTCCTGAATGCTTTTAAACCCCCTCTGTTCCGCTCTGCTTTGGTGTTTGCTGCTGCTGCTGCTGCTGCTGCTGCTGCTGCTAACGCTTATCAGTGACGGCGGCGGCGGTTCGAACTGCAAATGATAAAAAAGCCATGTTAACAATATATTTAATTGGTAGTTCCCATTCAGGCGTCGTGCGTTACTGTTCTCGTTTCTCCACTGCTCTACCACCATCCAACAAGGATCATTTTTACGTTCAAAGGATCCTGCGGATAATATAAAATATAAAATAATACTCGCAAAATGCGTTCGATCACGGTTACCTTTCTGATTCTGGCATTCTGTGCCTCAACGACTATCTGGAAAGGTGGGATTTGCATACCAAAAAACGTCGAAGTTTCCAGTACAAAGTGCGAAGGAAATAATTTAGACTAGAAATTTATAATGATTGATCTATGGACGTGTCAATGTTAGGAATGGAAATTACTCACACTTTGTATTTTATGAACTGTCTTAGTTTTGTGAGAGAGCGAACATGGAGTTGCCTCCTTATCAGCCATGTTTGCACCGACTTCCAGTGAAGAATATGCCATGGCCAGTGCCATTATTGTAATTAGTTTTGTGCCACCAACAGCCTCTCACCTCAATGAAAAAATTGCCAAAGCGTGTACACTATTGAAAAATATATAGATACATACAATGTGTATATATTGACTCATCAAAACTTCTAGTGCACCTCCAGATACATTTTAACGGTCGAGTATTTCATCAGAATTGCATTATCAAACCTCAAATACTAAGTTTCAATTGAGTATAGCGAGATATTCAGGGATATTCTTATATTTAATCAAAATTGCATTATCACACCTTAAAGACCATCTTGAGCAATTAAATATATACAGATATATTCAGGGATATTTTATTTTATGAGTAACTACACGAGCAACGTATCGTATTTTATCGAAATGGAAGAGCTTAAGGTACATACGTACCAAGTAGAAAAGTAAAGGCTGCTGTCCGATAAGAACTCATTAAATTATGTAGCCCCCAATAGAGATATGTAAACGGTTGGCAGAAACGTGCCCAATAGGTTTTTATATAAGCAAAGTGATTGGAGGATCGATATTATCGATCAGAGAAGTTTTCCGCTCCGTAGTAACACAATTTAAAGCTTTTTCGGTGCTTGAGCACTTTGTATGCCATGAATTAAACTCCATTTTCCTTGCAGCAAGTGCCCTGGAATGTTACCAGTGCAGCGGATCCCTCTGCGATGATCTGGACAATGTTCCGGTGGTTAGCTGCAATGCGGATGATGAGCCATCCGAATCGACAACCCCAACAGTAAGATGACACTAACAACCTGTCAGATTATCGATTTAATACAGAGCAATCCAACTGTTGTTATTTTTTCCAGGATGAACCTTCAACCGGCTCCACGGCCACCCCTACAGGATCTACAGCAGGTGGATCAAGTGGTTCAACAGCTAGTGGATCTACCGATTCTTCGACCGACTCGACCACAGAATCTGCGACTGACTCTACAACCGATGGAACTACCGATTCTACAACCGACGAAACTACCGATTCGTCGACAGACGAAACTACCGATGCTACAACTGATGGAACTACGGATTCGTCAACAGGCGAAACAACAGATTCGTCAACTGATCAAACGACCGATTCGTCAACTAGCGATGCAACGGAATCAACAGATTCTTCTAGCAATACTGCAAGTGAATCTACTGGTTCTACAACTGATGGAACTACCGATTCATCATCCAATACTCCAACTGAATCAACCGATGCTTCTTCCGATTCTTCTACCGATTCTTCTACCGATTCTTCAAGTAATGGATCCACAGATTCTTCCACAAATTCTGCAAGTGAATCCACAGACTCTTCAACCAATGCTGCAACTGAATCAACAGATTCTTCAACCAATGCTGCAAGTGAATCCACAGACTCTTCAACCAATGCTGCCAGTGAATCCACAGATTCTTCGTCTAGCACTGCAACCGAATCAACAGATTCTTCTTCCAATGCTGCAAGTGAATCAACCGATTCATCAACAGTCTCTCCAACCGATTCCTCAAGCGACTCTACTTCGGGTGATTCATCAACCGATTCTTCAACAGATGCAACAACTGTATCTGGAGATGTCTCTGCTGTATCAGCTCGTAGCAAATCTCTGGCTGCCATGGCCACAGATATGCTGCTCCAGAACTATCGCACCAATTCCCGTGTTCGAAGGGACACGGATGGTAACATTAAGTTGACTGCTTGCTATAGCATTATGACGGATAAAGGTACGTAAAAACCTATAGAGCATCGGATTGAGCTGCATAATAAATATTTATATGCATTATTCTTTCTGCCAAACAGGGAAACAACTCGGCTGTGTTCGTGTACAGAACGGTCAGAACGGCTGTGATGCTGTGCGAACAGAGGTCGGTCTTCCAGTTACTTCTGATCCTAACACTCCCCCTGAGGACGAGTGCAACCTCTGTTTCTACGATCGCTGCAATAGCAGCGCCAGTCTACGCGTGTCCCTGGGCATGCTGCTTCTGCTTCTGGCGGCGGGTGTGAAGAACTTCCTCTAGAAGCAGTTCTGGGCAGATGGGTGGGTTGAACATCCATAAGTTGTATTATATATTGAATTTTAAATATTAATAAATAAAACAAGTAAAAACCATTGACTGAAAAGTTGCTTAATTAATGAGAAGAAACGTTGTGAGTCGCCTATAAAAGCGACTCTTCGTTTATGCCCGGCACTCAGACAGTATATTGTATGTATGTACATATATAACCTTATTCTTCGAGTACCTGTTATAAAAACAGTCCCACAAAATGTTGCATCTATTTTTTATAACCTATACATAAATCTTTGCCAATAACACACCACAGAAACAAGCCGCCTCTTAGATCTCTCTGCAATATTCAACACATCGCAAAGGAAATTCTCGACAAATCTTTTACTCTGGCAACAATTTGAAAACCACCTAATTTCTTGGAACCTAATCTAATCGAAACGATCACCTGCGGATCATAAATCAAGATCGTGTGGAAGTGAACAAAAGGAGACAATAATTTCTTTACTTATCAAAATTTCTTCGGCCTTATCTTTGGTCAATTGTCAGCTAATTGTTATTAGAAGAATTATAATCTATAATCCTCTTATTACAACAAAAGTGAACAAATACAGAGTAGGTCCCACTTTTTTCTCTAGTTAATTGTATGACGAAACCTTTTGACAGCACAGAAATGGTGCATGACGTACTGAATTATGAATTAAAAAATTTTTAATATTTAACATTGAATTCAACTTTCACTGATATCGATCAACAGTATAAACGATTCAAAGCTCGTATTTATAGAACTGGAGACAGTGCACAAACCAGAAGCGAGCTTTTTTCTAGTTGAAAGCTAGAACAATGGAAAAAGCTTCAGAGCCAACTAGTGAAGGGTTAAAATAGAGTTTTCAAAAACCTATTAACTATTATGGAAAAAAAGAATTGTAAAATCCAAAATGTATAAGAGCTAAATTCACTTTTTAGAATTGAAAAATATTATCCGCTGAGCTCGTTGGCCTGCAATGTGTTAATACCAATGGAAAGCTTCCTCCCGCCGCGAATATATTTCAAAGGTGGTACTTACCAAATACCATTGCATAGGTACATATGAACATGCATACATATATGTATATGTAGTATATATTATCGCAAAAGTGTATTGAAGTTATCAGTAGAAAGAAAACCGAAATGCTTGTGAAATACATTCATAAAAAATAAAATTAAAAGAAAGATAAGCAGTGGGCCAATGCGATGTGTGTGTGTGTGTGTGTGTCTGCTAAAGTGAAATTGATTAGGGATATATTTAACACCGAAACCCTTTGGCAGACAGTTAACAAAAGGTGGTCGAGGCAAGCACAACATACCCGAACGGATCGCTAGACGACAATTGCAAAGGAATACCACAGAGATAGCCATGGGTAGTCATACATTTTTCACCACACTGATAGTGGCGGCACTCGCTCTCAGCCAGCTGGACAGCTGTCTGGCCATACGTAAGTTGGCCTAAATGGAATCGAACTTTTAACTACATTTTTTTTCTGCTAATTACTACAGAGTGCTATGACTGCAATTCAGGAAATAATGCAAATTGTCTCACAACATCAGCGGGTCTGAATGAAGTGGCCTGCTCAAGCAATTGTTTCACTTCTGCAGGTTAGTACCAACATATGACTCATGACTGATTATAATATACATATGTACATGTGTGTACATTGAATGGAAATATGTTTTTGTGTTTAAACAGCTTAAGCTGATCATCTCAAATGGAGTTTTATTGACAGAGTTAAGAACATATCAAGCCAAAGAGCTATCAGAGACCCGCTTATATTCGTTCTACTATTAAATAACCATTCTGACACACTGTGCAACAAAGATAAATTTTAATCAAGAGTAAGCTGTCGGGTGTCGGGTGTCGGGCTACGGCTATCGGCTAAGGCTTCGTGCTATCAACGATAGCTGCGATAAACGATTGATTATCTCATTGGGCTGTTGAAATTAAGTATTAAACTTAAACATATATTTACTTTCAGATGCTAACGGAGTTATAACTCGGGGATGCCTTGCCGAAAGCGCCAACTGTACTGCTCCACTGTGCAACAGTTGCAACACCGACAAGTGCAACACGAACCTCGTTTGCTACATTTGCACGGGCGAAAGCTGCAACGCACCCACCAACGCCACGCTGGGAGCCTGTGGAACTGCCGATGGTCAGTGCTACACGATCGGCACGAGCGCCGCTGACATGCAGCGCGGTTGCACCTCCGATACGGGAGCCAAGTGCCCGAAGGGCAGCGCGGACACCAACTGTGCCATTTGCCAAACGACTAATTGCAACAGTCTGCAATACGAACGGGATGCTGGCAGCTGCATTCAGTGCACCGATTGTGCGGGTGCCCAGGAAGCAAGCACTGCCAAGACGTGTGGCACTGTGAAGTACAACCAGGAGAGTCTCGGCTGCTACACGCTCCTCAATGGCACTGTCTCACGCGGCTGTATCACCACGGGACAGGCTGCCTGCACCACAGAGAGCAACTGCACAGCCTGCTCGGGGGCGGCATGCAATTTGGCGGCGCAGGGATTCCAGTGTGCTCAATGCAACACCCTCACAAATGACAACTGCAGGAAAGGCGTTGGCACTCCGGTCACATCATGTGCGAACACTTGCTTCTCCGGATATTGGAGTAAGTTTTAATTGTAAGCCATACTTGCATTAGCTAATCTTCTTTTTGCCAGATGGAGCTGGTATACGCGGCTGCTGGGATGACGCCAGCGAGCTGATGCAGTACCAATGTGTCAACGAGAAGAGTCACGATTGCTCGCAATGCCAAACAAGCCTCTGCAACGTGGAGCCCTTCTCTGGTGCAGCCACCATTAAACAGCTGGGTGTGGGTCTTCTGCTGGGACTCGCCCTGGCCCTCCGCTACGCCTTGTAGGCCAGCCGCTTGGCATTCTGTTTGTATTCCACAATGGTATCACAAAAACTAATTACGGCGATTGGCCTATGACTAATGCATACCCCCAAAGGAAAGCATAACATAATTATGATAACAGTTATGAATATTTGTCTAATCACAAATAAAAGTCTTGTACATAATGTATACAAAAATATTTGCAATCATGTTTTTTATTTTAGTTGTGCATGGCAGTTGCGCTTTAGGAAATTGGTGCTACCACGCCTTAACACTGACTAATTCTTGGAATACATCTTATCAGTGTGAAGACACAGCGAATAAACAGATAATAAAGATAAGTGTTTCTTATCAACTGATTAAGAATTCGCTTTGTTCTGCATTCTACATACTCGAACATGCAGGCCATAGATTCTTTGGTTTGTATAGTCATAGATTAATAGAAAGTAAAAGAATGATGAAAAATTATTAATCCAATTCTAAATCTTTTGTAGATTTGAGCATGAGACTATCAGCTTTATATCTTCTTGCTGATTTACATCATCCAAGATTGTCTGAAGTTATGTCTGATGCTACCCAATTGAACACTATAGCAAAATCAGCATAAATATAGCATCATTTTCCATGTTCATACATATGTAGATTTACTTGAGAAAATAATCCTTTGAATATGCATATTATTAAAACTTGTATTTATTTTCTTCGAACAGTATTTAGGAGTAATAAATAGTTTAATTTATCAGGAGCCAGATAATTGAAACTCTAACCCCCAAGTAGCTAACGTGTAATTTCCATGACTCAGAGGGTTCCCGGTGTTCCTAAACATTCGCCAAAGAACTGATTACACAAATGGCCGATATGATTGTGCCCATCAATGAGGCAGAGCTCGAATGAACGGGCATGGAATTGCAGTAATTTGTAGAGCAAACTGAACAAAATATATCTTCTTCGAGGCATAAATCCTCGGCATGGCCCACCGACTCGAATTCACAGCCTCGGACGATAATATTACTGGGCTCTAAAATATGGTATTGTGAATCACTCGATTTGGTATGAGAGCATTACACTTACTCATGTATACTGTGATGCAGGAATTCGGTTTGCCATCACTCCGATAGCATCTTGTTCGCTTTGTGGGCTTTTCCGAACATTTTCCACCTGCAAACGGATCACAAAAGAATCAGATTATGGGCATTATATTGGGTTTTTCTGCAATTGTTGTTGCTTTTGTGGGGTCAGGATATGTTTCAATATCCCTTAAATGTGAAACTGTAGTTCCTTCACTTCGGATGGCCAATAATCCCATCAAAGTATACCAGATAAAGAGTTGACTCAGCCACATTCTGTTCGATTTCTTCCTTTTGATGGTTGAGCCTAGACTGAAACAAAACCGAAACGAATTTAGCTTCCTACTTTAAGCAGTAAATTTCTTTAGCAAGAAACATTTATTCAATGCCACAAATTCTGTGGTAAGAATTTTCTCTCTGTTATAAATCGGAATGCTTTTTGAGATCTTTAAATGTCAATAAACTCTTCAGAAACTTTGGCAAATACTTCTAACAGCACTTAGCATCCAGTTAGAATATTAAAGTCAAAATCTATCAAAGGCCATCGCATTTTGTCTTTCCTTCATGTTTCTTGATGTGTCGTATTATGTACATTTATTAATCATTGCAAAGACACAAAAACAAATACGTACGATAATAAACTTTATACTCCATTAAGCTTTTTGACAAACAAAAGAAATTGATCTAATTGTGCGTGGCGTGGCGTGGCGTGGCGGGGGACGCCTTCCTTATCTTTTTTATCGATTTCAATATAATTTCAAAAAGTGCATGACTCAGAGTCGAGGGGTTCCTACATCGCCAGCAGACAACTGATTATAAAAAGCCAGCTCCCCAGCAGCGGGGCAGCAGCCGCATTGGACAGCGTCACCGCCTTGGCATTGCAGTCGTTCTCGTAGCACATTTCACAGCCTTTGGCATTCGATATGCAGTAGTTGTTGCCCGACTCCGCCAGCTCGGAGATGCAACCACGCAGCACAAGCTTCTCCTCACCTAAAGGATTGTTACACATTAGCTAAGACATTGAGAATTCATCCAGGGAGTACTTACTCTTGACCAGAGTGACGCAACCATTACGCTTGCCAGCAGTCGATGTGCATTTTGTTTTATTCGTTGGCTTCTCCTTGCAGTTGCCACAACTATAGCAACTTATTGTTGGAAATTGTGGCACGGTTGGAGGAGTAGGTGGTGTTGGGGGTTGTGTGCCAGCTGGTGGGGCTGCTGTTGTATCCTCATGGGGTGCATCGTCTTGGTAATCTTCAGCAGGAGCATCCGGAATTGATTCAGTTTCAGCTGGTGGCTTATCCTTATCGGTATTTTCGGTTTCAGTTTCCATATCTAAGGGTTTTGGATGAGCAGGAATTTCTGCTGCTTCCATTGGAGGTTCTGTATGTTCCACAGCAGGGGGATTATCAGAAGGTTCTTCCTTTTCCTTTTCCTTTTCTTCCTCTTTAGCAGGAATATCCTCTGTATCCATTGGAGGCTTCTCTTCTATTTGTGGGCCCAGATCTACATGATCTGTACCCATTGATGATTCCTCTGATTTGGCATCCCCGCTTTCGCTTCCTGTGGAGTTTTTATCATTTGGTTGCTCCATTTCCGATGGCTTCACTTCTGTTGGTACTGACGGTGTGGTTGCTGCCTCCATGCTAGACGTCTGCTCCAGGATATTATCCTCCTGAGCTTCGCTGCAATGCAAGAGGATCGTCAGTGCGATCCAGACAGCAATTTGCTTCGTCTGCATGGTGGCTAGTGATCTGTTCAAGCTTCGCGGATCGTCTGACTTTGTGGCAAAAATAAAGTTTCCACTTGAACTCACGGCAGGGGAGTATTATCTGGCAGAGTATCTTTAGCGATATCGGATTTATGCGCAAACTGTGGAGAGCTCTACAAACACTGGGAGTTGGTAAAGCCAATAAACTGCTGCACTAGATGAGAGGTCGTTGTCGTTGCCGTTGTCGTTCCTGTCCAGTTGCTGTTTTACTGTCAACTGAGAGTGGTTCCCACTAAATTGGCCTGGTCATGGCTATACTAGAATCCCTTGATTGTCACGCAATTATCCGAGCTCTAAATTAAATCGATATTCGTCCGGGCTGTGCGGAGGGGTACTGCCAGGCTTATGAGCCGCTCTCGACATCCCTGCAACCCCGACACTCCATCTGAATTATTGATGATGTGAACCTTTCGATGGCCAGATGGGTTAGCCCGATAATGGGGTCAAGGCATATACATATGTCCACATTATGGAGCATGTCAATTATACTATGCATATGCCAGAAGACAAACGTGCTTTGTTTTCCTTCATTCTTTTTTGGCCAACTAATAAAAGCTCTCTCCATGGCTTATCCTTATCACTTCAAGCAATGGCGCTCTATCATTTGATTATTCTTTCCATTGATAAGTCGTAAAATACTCGTAGATTATAAATTTCAATGTGCAAACAAAGCCAATGCATTTCTTGTTGGTTGTCAGAATGGTTCGTCCGGATACACCAATTCTGCTCCTCGTGGTGGGGTCTCTGCTGCTGACATGTAAGTCCGTTCCCAGGCTTTAATTCGTTTCCAATAATACGAAGACTTGTCGGTTCTAATAATAGGCTCGCTGCAGTTTGCTTGGGCCATTGTCTGCTACCATTGCGACTCGATTGCCTTGCCAGAGTGCGCCCAGACCCTGGGTGAGGTCGGGGTCTTGCCCTATGAGGATTGCACCAACCAGCTGTCGTGTGCCATGTCAATTGGTGAGTCCACCACCTAGACATTGACCTTCAATTGATTGGACCTCCCTTTGCAGTCGATACAATTACTTATCGTGGCTGTGGCTCGGATACCCCCACCACGGGGGCCACCTACTCAAAGAGCTGCTCCTCGAACCTCTGCAACGCTGGTGTCTATCCTCCTGGGCGCCTGAAGTGCCATCATTGTGCGGGTGTGAATTGTGTGGTGGCACCTGGTGCCAAGCCAAAGCCATGCCGCTACCATCACGAGGAGGATCAGTGCTACACCGAGGTGCTGAGTGCCACCGAGGCATATCGCGGCTGTGTCTCGGAGGGCAATCACACCGTCTCGAGTGCCGCCAAGCTGTGCGAGTACAACGGCTGCAACGATGAGCAGGGAGCCTGGACACAGACCTGTGCCACCTGCGACTCGAGCAGCGGTCGGGGCTGCAAGATGGATCTCTTTCAGGTGAACAGCGGCCGTTGCAATGTGAGTCTCTACGAGGAATGCCAGCAGGATGTGCTGCTCGGTGGGGAGGAGGACAAATTCTGTTTCAGCTATCGCAAGTTGAGTCGCGTCGTCAGAGGCTGCTCCACCGCACTGCCAGCAGAGCTGGAACCACTCCGAGACGAGCTGGACAAGTGCCGAACGGGAGACAAGTGCAATGCCGGCTGTACTCCCCAGCAGCGTTGCTTGACCTGCAACTCCGTGGATCAGGCTGCATGCCGCAGCAATGTGACGGCGGTCAGCAACAGCACGTGCGGCTCTGCGGAGGCGTCCTCCTGCTTTGCCTGCGAGTACTCCGACTGGAACATACGCAGGGGATGCGGTGCACCACCCACTGATGCGGGCATCCTCAATTGCTATGAATGCGATGCGAAGGGAGGCTGCAACAGTCGCGACTTTACGCGCTGCTATCGCTGCAGTTCGGATCAGGCGGGAGCGGCTTGCGCCAACTGGGAGCGACCCGGTGGCATATACATAGAGGAATGTGCCCAACCGGGCGCACCGTGTCTTGTGCTAACCCATAGCAATGGCACCACCGAAAGAGGCTGCCAGCGAGAGGATTTCAGCTGCACTTCGACGAGCAACTCTGCCTGCAAGAGCTGCAACGGCAGCTTCTGCAACAAGGGAGCCTTTCCGGAGCATCGTCTCTGGTGTCATCAGTGCACAGGCCAGCAGGCGGACTGTGAGCAAATCTCACGTGGATCCAATGCAATTCCATGTCCCGTGCAGCCCAACGAGCCGGAAGAGCAGGCGGAAGCCTGTCTGGAATACTACGACACACACAAGCAGCTGGTGGTGCGTGGCTGTAGCTCCAATCCCCAGATGTACTACGAGTGCCTGCTGCAAAGTGGCCACCAAGACGGTTGCCGGTTGTGCCACAATCATGCGTGCAATTCGAGCCCCGGGGAGGATCTGCGTGCGGACTCCAAGCTGGAAAGCAGAGCCCTAGAGCTCATCCTGGCCAAGAGTTCGTCTTCGTTTACTGCAACTCCACCTTTTGTGGTGTGTGTAATTTGGTCATTGTTTAGCATAATCTATATTGTAACTGCACGAAACTAAACTAATAAAGAGCCTCGCAGCGTTTCCAATCCATGCCACTGCGGCTCCTATTGGACCTTTTCGGGTGGCGTGTAGCCCGGATTCAGAGCGCGTCCGCGATGATTAAACGAGTAGAATGACGGGAAGTTGCCCAGTGTGTCCCAAGTCTTTTGCTGCATGTCCACAGTGGCACGAATCTCCTTGAAGTGGCCCACAACTTCAATGATGTTGTACACAACCACCACGAGACTGATGACAGTCTGCAGAATTAACTGAAAGCGAATAAAGATTAGTTAATGTGGGGACTGAGCATGTGTTGAATATCCCTCACATCCAATGGCAAACTATTCCACTCCTGCTCTGTCAGCCGCAAGTACGTGCGATCTGTGGACATAAAATATGGGTTAATTTTGATTTGTCTGCTGGTCCAAAGTTCCCCTTAATTGGGGTGAATATACTCACGGTGTGCTGCCGAAAAGGCGGCATGTGCTAAGCTGGCAAAGCCAGCAATCAGCAAAAGCTTGTTTAAAAAGGTGCTGCCCATTTTTGATTCAATAATTTAAGTTTTTACAATTTCAGGCAATAATTTTCCGTAAATTTGCTGATAATTCGGCAATGCGGTCACACTTAGGGTTGGGATGGTATATTTGGTATATTGGAAGTGTGAACGTGTTCTATTTTTGGTTTGTTTCTGGGGTATTTTTGTGCTCATTTTTGAAACGTGAAAGTGAGAGGACAGGAGACAAATTCCCACAAATTTCGCAATTCACAATAACATAATTCACAATGGAAACAACTCATCAGCGAGCGCAGCCATATTTTCAATTTGTTGGGAATTTCTTTTTTTATGACCCGACGAGTTGGCAACAGTGTCTCTGCGCTATCGACCACTATCGAGACTTTAAACCATCGACCATCCAACCATTCATGGCACCGATAGTGCCATCGCTAGTTCTCCTCTACTGCGATTTGCTTCTTTTTGCCGTTTCCCTTGCCGCTTCATTCGCTTTTCAAATTCCGTTTCGTTCGGACGTTCGCGCGCATTTTACAAACAAGCTCCAATCAGACAACAACAACACAAGAGAAGCTGCTATCAAACGGGTGTCCCGGCGTTTCATAATAAAAAATATCCTAAACTTCCAAGCGAATTAATTTGACAAGTTCCGAAATTCCTTTTTTGCACCACTCCCCCTCCTATCGCTGTGTGCTTTTTCGTGTGTGTATCCTGCCATCATCTCCTATCGTCCGTTCGAGTGTGTGTGTCCCCAGAGGGTGTGGCTCCCCCGTCGCCGTAGCAAGGAAAATAAATTCCAGCACAAAACAAAACAACATAAAACCTGACAAAAAATGTCCGTCTCTTCGAATGCCTCGTCGGCCTCGCGCAATGGCAGTGTGGATGATAGCACCACAACCAACACCACGACCACGACCAATACGGACAGCTCCGAGCTGACGCACATCCTGAATCGCCGGCAGGAGATCATGGACTCCCAGGAGGCCGGCATTGATGTGCCACGCACCTTCAAGGTGGTGAATGTCTACACCGAATTCCACGAGTTTTCGCGCAAGCAAATCAAGGACTACCAAAAGACCTTCAATACGTAAGTAAATGGACACCGCCGACACAGAAACAGACACGGTCAAGGCCGTAAGCACAGAAGAGCGGAAAGGGGTGGGCGCGTTTTCTTTTTCTTTCGATTTCCCTTTGACTGCGAGTGGTGTGGAGATTGTGCCTTGAGATGATTTTCCGCTAATGGGGTAGTTTTCAGTAGCTGCAGTTTTCCCATGTCCATTAGTCCAGAAGAAAACTCAAAACTCATGCGCCTAATGGGCAAATAAATTGCATTTAACACCAGACGAGATGGAGAAGTTGTGCTGCTGATGCTGGGCCTGTGTGCAATGGGGCATGACTCACACTCCAACGACGACTGTCACAGTCGCTTGATTATTCCGGTTGGGGTTTCAAGTCGAGTCGACTGGCGGATCCATGACTCAAGACTGATTTTTCAGCACAATATGTGTGAATATATCTGATTACCTCCCAACGACAATGTCAGGCACCGTCAAACACCTTCTGCCAAAATGATGGGGGTCGCTGCTGTGGTTTTCCTAGTCTTGTGGTTAATACCCCAAGATCTGATTACAACGTTTTGCCACCCCACCCGTCGTCGTCGTCGTAGTCCAATCAACCGCAGAATAATTGCGCAATCTGACTTTTGGTAATCTTTAGAATTTTTTCATTATTTAAATTTGTTGTGAGGAATGGAATGGCACGTAGCAGCGAAGAGGTCGGACTATGATGATAACGACTGGACTATCTCTAAAGCTCATCTGCCACTTTATCTGTTTTTTTTTTCAGCTGAAATATGCTTAGAACCAGAACCAGTTACTCAGAGTAGCTGATTCAATATTTTTCCATACTTCCACCTAAGTAAGACTGAATCACCTGTACGGCTGGCTGGCCAATTATAATCGCTGAATTGATTTCAGCCGCCTGTTTTGCACTTTCTTTTAGTCATATTGGAGACATAATATTGTTTCCAGACAAATTTTCAGCTGGAAATCACATACAGGTATCCCGGTGATACCTTCTGTGAATCATTGCCGCATTTGGGTCACTCCACATGCTCCAGTCATGGTGTCTGCATTGGCAAATTGTCAAAGAAGATAAAAAAAAACAGACCCCTTGGCAATCTCTGACTCTGCTCTGTGCTGCGCTGCATTATGGCACTGCCTCGTACGTGTCCCGCAATTGTAATGCCCCACAGAGACACAGAGCGCACAGACAACTCCAATCCGTCTGGTTAAGCCTCTGAGAATGGGCTCCAAACAGCAACAGCAACAATTTTTGGTCTGGGACTTAGCTAATGTCATGTATAAGGCGAATGGAATTGGGCATGGCCAAAAACAAGCTCTAAAATTGCTTAGGTAATTGCCTGTTTTTCTCGCTGTGTTGTGATTTTCCTTTTAGAGTGAAAAATAAAACATACTTTGCTGCAGGAATGATAATTAGTGAATGTTGCAGTTTATTCTTTAATATCTATGTAAATGGAAGGTTATTTATATTTTTAGAGGTGTGGCTATTGCAACACTATCAAAAAGAAACCAAAATTAAAATCCTAACAGACCCTATCTACAAGAAATTTTTATTGGTTTTGAAGAAGTTTTGTTCACTTAAAAGAACAACACCTGAATCCACATTAAATTCAGAATTTTCCAATAAAACTTAAGCTGTTAAAAGATCCAGAAAACCAGAGTCTACCTCTACTTTTGTAGTTCTTTTAAGTACAACGCAGTACATGATCTGTGTTTAAATAAACATCAGTTTAATCTCAATTTACATATCAACAACTTAATCCGAAGTCTAGTTCTACTGCCACTGACAAATGTCAACCCATTCGAACCCACAGCCACCGTTTAAACTGCTGCTTCATTTTCTGGTCTCTCTGTTTTTATTTAGTTATCCATAAACCGGCTAACGAAGCGTCTGCCTTTTGGCATTTTCAGTCACGTTAGGGTCGTCGTCGTCGTCGGCGTACCTTTTTATGTTCGTGGCAAGGGGATGGGGTTTGGATGTGCTAAACTTGCAAATTTAAAGCGCAACAAAAACCTGAAAATTCAACTAAAATATGCCATCAATTCAATGAAATGAATGCAAACAGTGGAACTGAGTCACGACTTCAATTTGTTGTTCGAAAACAAATTTTTGCCACTGATTCAGAAAAAGGAATGGCAAGTGAGGAAAGAATATTCCTGGAATTACCACCGAAATTTGGTAAACAATTGAATGCAAATATAAACAAAAACAACGTCATAGAACAATATTTTTCTTTAAGTTTGGGAAAATTAAACCGATAAGAAGGGGCGACCGGACATCAACATTGGACCCAACCCCAAATACGGTGTGTGCTAGGGTGATATGGCATATGGGGGTTTGCCCGCGCTCTGGTTTCATTTTTATCATCGTACACAAACCACACGCAATGTTCAACATTTTCTCATAGCGTCTTGCATTATTATTTGTGTGTGTGTTTCCCTTCGAATGAAATGATTTCCTGATTGTTTTTCCTTTATTTTTAATGCGCCATTTTCCGCACATTTTACTGCTGAAATTTATGAGGATGTTGGGCGAGGCAGAGAGACTTCCGCAAGGCGATAAACAGCAGAATTAAACAGAAAACGAATACGATTAAGAGGGCGAGTAGTACGAGTTTTTGTATATCGATTATGCATTAAATGACGCCTTTGGTTTCCACATCTTCCCCGGGGGAGTAAAGACTGTCTGACGTCTGGTTCTTTGCTGATAAGCATTGCAAATCCCTGACTAAACTTTGGTTGAAAACCCACCACCGCCACCCAACGATGAATGAGGATGATGATGTCCAGTAGTATGGCACTTCTCTTGTAAATTAAATGTAATTTTTGCATGCATGCTGCATGGAATATATGCCACATAATGTCTGCATCTAAGTGGGGAAAAAAGACTCTTTGTGGCCCCCCTTGTATCTGTGGGTGTCTATGTCGTCGCTCTGGTTACAATTTGAGTTCATGGACACGCACTTTACAATACAAATGAGGGTGGGCTTTTGTGGTAAAGAGAACTTTTAATTAAGTTGAATGTTGCCATTGCCATTGCCAGCACCACCAACGCAATCGCCACCCTATTAATGCAAGTATCACTGAGGCATAACCCCTTACTTATGTAGAGTTCCCTCCCGTGTTACGCAAATTATATGTTGCACAGGGGGTTGTTCCATTGTTGCATATTTCAGGACAATTGCAGCAAGTAGGTTCTTGAAATGAGTGCAAATACATGCCTCTTGGCATTTACATATATGCACATACAGTGGAAGCTCTCTGAGCAAACAGATGTATAAATGTATGTGCATATTTCTGGGTATTTAGTCTATCGATGAAATATGTACCTGTTCTGTAGCTGGTAATTTCAATAGATAAAATCGATTGTAAAAGCTCAAGTGGTGAACACTCCTTTCCATTCCAAATTTCCTTCAAAACCTTCTCTCTTTTGCATAGATCTTCCCTTAAAAAATATATATCCAAATCATAATCTATCCAAATATGTTCTCCTTCGAATCATTTTCCTCCTCAAACCCTAAATGTCCCCACCAATAGAGCTTTTACTGTACTTCTTCGTGCATTTGCAACGCGTATGCGAACACACCCAAAGTGAGCCGCAAATCTGCGCCTCCTCTAGGGTTCATTGACATTCAGTTTGTTGTTTGCATAAGTTTTGACGTGCAGCCGCAGCCTTTGTGCGCATTGCCACGGCCATAGACTCTATGGCATAGAGTCACATCTGCATTATCTGACATCTGACTGTGTGTCGATGCAGATTTGCAGGTTTTTGGCCAATCGATAACAATGCATTATCGTTTCCACAACACACTTCCGGGGCCACGCAGCCAGAGTCACTGCACAGCCTCCGCTAGTAATTATTTCCGCACACATGTGAGCAACGCGACCTTTGTTGCATTTGGCCAAAAATTGCTGGCAGATTGTGCCACGAGTTTTGAGTGGAACTGGAGAGCCGAGAGAAGCAGACAGTGGCTTTGTGGCGACCAGCAGTCTGGTTTGTTCAAACAGAAAACTGCAAAATAAATGAATTGAATGATAGAGGAGAACAAGGGACACACCGAAGAGTGCATGCTCTGAGCAGTCACAATTTAAGTAAGAGATACTGGGTAAATATTTTCTGTTCTTCACATATGAACACATTTCAATCCATTACCAACAGTTTAACTTCTACGAAACATGTTGCAATGGTGCAACTTTTTATGAAAAGAAACACATTTAGGAATCTACTATCGAGAAATGATTTCTTAAGACAGCTGTTCATATTGTATACGCGTGTATAGTGTATATAGTACCCAATTCTTATAAACAATATACAGATTGATTACTACAAATGTTTTTTAATGTAATATAAACCGCATGCTGACCAAGAAAATTCTGAATAATTCTTAAATTAAATTCTAGTTGGTCTTACTGTGAATGCCTGAAATCATTGGCAGGAAGATCCTCTTTAAAATATTAATTAGAAATCCTCTAAAATCAGTTTTTATAATTCATTCATCCTGTAAAGATTCCAATTCCATCTTTATCTTTCTGAGCGTTACAAGTATCTCAAAAATACGATTATACCCTTCATAAGTGTACAATCAAATAGTTGAACCAATGGGCAAACGACAAGAGCTTCTTTTCCTTCCTCCCTCCCCCCCTGCTGCCACAAGTCCATGTGCGTCCACTCCATCGATGGCTCATTGTGCGCATTTTGATTACATTTTACGCGCACATTGCGGTGAATGACAGTGACATCCCAGCAGTCCAGCAGACCAAGAGTCGGGCAGTCGCCAGTGTTGTTGTTCCGACTGTTGTCCACTCAATTGAGGAAATATCAAATTATGTGTTGGTACGAGTATGAACGACCAACGACTACGATCATCATTCATTGTGCCCCTCCAACTTGTTGCAATTAGTCATTGCATTTACAATTCACTCATTCACTCTTTGTTCAGTTGTTTGATTCGGCTCTCGGCTCTGATGATGCCGATAAGAACAGCAGCTCTACGATGAGTAAATGCCGCTGCTGCTACTGCTGCTGCTTCTTGCTTCCTGCAGCAAATACTCGTACTAAAAATAATCAGGCAATCCGACCCACGCAACGCCTTTTACCCCGGCCTACTACTGCCTCTATCCATTTGCTGTTGTCTGTTGTTTGCTCCAATTTCGAAATGTCAAAATGTGCAGAGTTTATTTTTGGTCTACAGTCCAATACACACATACTTTATGACCATTCTGTGGGGTGAGTAGGAGGGAGAAGATTGTGGAGTGTACGGGTTGAAATGATCAAGCATCTTTGGGGGTCTGAAAAAGGGAATGAACAGGGAATGAATAGCAAAATATGAAAGGATAACTTTGGGTGTAGCAGATAATGAACAAAATTTGGGAATAATTGTTATGATAGAGTACATTTAAAGCCTAAATATATAAGGATCTCCACACAAACTTACTGTAACTACATTTAAAAGAATTTCATGAACACATCAACGACCTGCCAGCACCAGAACCACCACAACAATCAATGTTTTCCTATTGATGAACAATTTTACATCTTTTACAAGCAGAAATATACGCGTGGATACAGGTGTACCAGTACCAGTGCTTCGTATATTGTATATATTTGTGTAGGCCATGTGCACAGGTTCATGTTTGGTTTCGAAATGAGTGCGAGACGATCCAAAAAAAAACCTCGACTCCGAGTCCGTTCGTGACGAGCGAAATAAACAAGCAATTTTGTATGCAAGAGACATCCACATCATACATACAACATTCATACAGTACCAGCACAAGTATTTCTCCTTCTATCGGGGTTACAATAATACAATAGATTAAAGACAAGACCCCTACCTCCCTTCCACCCCTTCCATATGATGAAACCTTCCGTGCAGTGCATTTCAAAGACTTACAAAACTAATAAAGCACCGTTACAATAAAGTTCAAGAACATGACGCGTTTTCTAACTGCAAACAAAACACACAAAAAAGAAGCAGCGAATATTATCGTTTTGTATGCGAGTATCCATTCATGTAGTGTGTGGGTCTCTGTCTCTCACTGTCTCCGTCCCTCTCTCGCTCTCCCTTTGGCATTAACCTGCTTCGAACATCAAAAGCTTGGGCAAAAAGCGAGACCAAACCAATTACAGTGTAACTTCTGTAACATGAACGAAAGTGCATTAGAAATTAACATTAGAATGGTGGGAATTTTATAGAAAAATATTTATAAGCTAAATATTTTGTGCAATTTTTCGGAAATTTGATCTAAAAAATGGAAATAATAAACAATTTTAAACTATTTCTTGAACTTTTTTTGGCTGAGATTTAATTTCTTATTCAATGTTCATGCATTAATTAAACCGAATGAATATTTGTATTCCATCTAGTAACCATTTAGTTACTCCATTCAAATTCGTTTACCTTTAAATGTAACTCAAAAATACATCCAATGATATGTCCTTTGCGGGTCAAATAACAATTTAATTTGCATAGTTTTTGTGTACATCAAACAAGATTTCAGCTGAGGACTATAACAATTTGAATAATTTGATTGAATGACCTTTGAGTTGCAGGGAAAAATATGTAAAAATGTTTGCTCATCTTGGAATAAATACTCTGAAAACTGTACGATCTTTAACTTCAATAACTTCCCTTTGGAGAGGTACAACTGTACGTTAAAGCATGGACAAAAGCGCTGCATTAAGTTGCTAATAAAGAAGAGTCTATGCGAGTACGAGCACTCCGTATGCAGTATGTTCGATAATTGCAACTTGTGGCGGTAGCAGAGCCCCAGAAGGCGGCGGCCGAGTACTCGAACACTTGCGAGTACTCGTAAGTAGAAGAAAATAACATGGATACATAGATAAAAATTTACGATGCAAATTGCGGCAATGCATAAACAACAACGAGCGAGCAAAGGAACGAACGAAAAACAACACTAACAATGGCCAGCTGACCCCGTTATTTGTTGAACTGTACACGAAATAACTATAAAGATAAAGGAAAATGAAAATCGCATGCCCTGCCACAACATGCAATGAGGCATAAAGATTGTTTAGGCCCATCAACACCCCACAGAAATAACTTGTTGGAGGAAGTGTGAAGTTTCGATTCGATTCATTGGAATGAAAACAATCGATAAAAATTAGGCTAAATGGGGGAGGGATACAGTGGATGGCCGAACGAGAGTTACCACACATTGACCACAGCAGGTGCCAAGGCTGAGAGACGTGGTACAGTCCCACACACACCCACAGAGACTCCCCGCTATATTGGCTGATAAATGGATAAATTATAATTCAATAAACAGAGATCTGCGTTAAATTAATTGCATTTAAACAGCTGGAAGTGACAGAAAGCGGTGAGACGTAATTTAAACGAAAGCAAAATAACAAACACCTCACACAACAAAACAGAAAACAGCATTGCCAATTGTCACATTGACGCAATCCAACAGAAATATTAAAGAAAACATGGAAAGAGAAAGAGCCATGGGAGAGTGCAATTGAAGTTAATTAAAGACGGCGTAACACTGCTGCAGACAGCCACAAATTAATTGCCCATCTTTGGCGGCTGTTAAAATACACGAGTGACACCTTTTCATCACATCATCACGCTTGAGAGATGATTCCCCTACCATCCGAGTAACCATCCAACCTGCCAACTCTTTTAATTACTTTCACTATCTGTTTCATTTCTTACCTCTCCTTAATGCCTTGCACAATCACGCAATTTGTCGATACAGAAACTCGCACTTGTACGGAGTACTCTTACTCTTTCAATTATTTATTATTTATGAAGATCCCCCCAAATGAGCTTTCCGTATGAAAGCGAAACTTTATTAATAGTTGTTTTTGTCTTTCTTGCTTTTTCTTTTCTTACAATTTATTTCTCTACTGTGGCCACCCGGCATTACGTGGCTTCTAATTGAAATCGAAACTGAAAGTTGAGTGACAGTGGAAGTGGAAGTGGCAGCAGCAGCGGCAGCGGCTGTTGTATCTATTGCCTAACGATTTGTGTAATGTTCATCTGTGGACTTGTCCGGGCTGAGCGGCTTCCTTGGCTGTTAGAGATCTGGTCTGGCCTTGTGTGGGGGGCCACTTGCATTTAAGTATTTTTAGCTAGAGAGCTGCAGGTTCCCGAACTAGTTTGACTCGTTTCTAGTTGTTGCTATCATCATCATCATCATCGCCATCGACATCCTTCAGTTGTTGGCGGCAAGGTCGAGTAAGCCTGTGCAACTTGTTTCCGCCAACATTGTTGTCTGATGTTCCCTCACTGTGCTCATCTGCCACAAGACTCGACTCCTCACGCGATCTGCTGTTTTCTCTTTTTTAATATATTACACAATTAGATGGGTAAATGGGTTTTTATTTACATTTTTATCCACAATTTCCTGCCCACATACTACCGAATATCACTGTCGGTAGTCAAACGGAAGCAAACGTTTGAACTTTTGACTTTGCCAAAAATTGTGTGTATGTGGCCAATGAACCCCATCCATAGGAAATGTATATGATAATGCCCTATAGATAGAGAGCCTAAAAAGACTTCATTTGTGAATGATTTGTCAACAAACAGCCACATTGCCACCAAATTAAATAAAGCAGAATGTGCTTTGGGGTTTATTGAGAATTGGTGCTGAAAATAAAGTTTTACCATCTATATAAAGCACTGTACACTGTGCTCTAAAGAGCAACAAAATATTCTTGAGTTGATGTTTCTGCACAAGAATCGTCTTTTGATGGATGTTGACTTCCGAAAACTGAATTTCTGTATGTGAAACTATGCTCAGCACCCTCAACCCTTTAGTTTTCTATGCTATAATTATAGTTTACCCTTTGCCATACCTTCAATTGAATCACTCTCCCATGGCTTTAACAGCTCGCTATCTCTGGTGTATTTTCTTTTTAATTTATGTTGGATTGCGTCAAAGTGACAATTGGCAATGCTATTGTTATCTTATTGTGTGAGGTGTTTGTTATTTTGCTTTCGTTTAAATTACGTTTAACCTTTGTCTGCAATTCATTAAATAAAGGTATATATTTATGAAATTATAATTGTTCAATTTAATAGCTAGAGCAGAAGGCAACTCCTTCTCTTTGGGTATATTTAGCAAAATAATTGTTAACTAAATAAATAAATATAAACCTTTCTAATGATTGGACTGGGGACTGTTTCTTATTAAATATATGTTGAAATCCAAAAGAAGCCCTTGCCCCCCCCAACAGAACTGCTTTCGTAGGCGTCATGGAACCGCTTGTTAATTTTATACTCTTTGTTCTTTATGTGGGGGCTTAAATTGCTTGGAAATTTAGCCTGAAATTAGGTTGCCAGCCCACCCATAGCCACCTCTGACCTCCGACGCCTGTGCCTGCTGCACCCACGTTTGCATTATCGATTGCATATGGCCCCAACACCCCCATAGTAGCAAATAGAAGGGGTCTCTCGTCTCGTGTCGCGTGTCTGTGGGTCAATGACACTTCTCCTCTAACGTTCTATCTATATTTATAATTGACTAATTGATTTGCATTTCTGTTTTGCGCTTTACTTTGCAGCTATGACACGGCTCGCGATGGTTTCTTGGACCTAAATGAGCTCAAGTTCATGATGGAGAAACTGGGTGCACCGCAAACCCATTTGGGGCTGAAGAAAATGATTGCCGAGGTGGATGAGGACAACGATGGCAAGATCTCTTTCCGTGAGTTCCTGCTGATCTACCGCAAGGCCCAGGCCGGGGAGCTGGACAGCGAATCGGGCCTGAATCAGTTGGCTCGTCTCACCGAAATCGATGTGGATCAGGTGGGCGTCAGTGGTGCCAAGAACTTTTTTGAGGCAAAGATTGAACAGCAGCTGAGGACGAACAAGTTCCATGATGAGATACGACAGGAGCAGGAGGATCGTCGTCGCGAGGAGGAGGAGCGTTTACAGCGCCGGCAGCAGTTCCAGCAACGGGCGGCGATCTTCCAATAAGGAGTTAGCCTCCCTCCCCTCCCCAACCCTTTTGTAGTCTAGCGCGTAATGCTTTTTTGGGCGTAGGTTAAAGAAAATGTGGAACTAATCTTAGGAGGAGCTGCAGGCAAGCGGCAGGCATTTTTCAAGCATCAAAGCACATCACATACGAGAACTATTGTAATCCAATATCCCATATTAATCGTCCATATCTATACATACATACATACATAACTACATGAAACATACATACCTACTACATAGATAAACGATCCATACCAAATGCCTAAGTTACATATACTATAATTAGTTACTTTGATTTAAGTGGGGAAAATGTTTTAGTTTTTTTCGTTTCTTTCTGTGTTTTTTTATATGTTCTTTGCAATTTTCTTTGTTTTATGTTTAGTTTTTAATTTCACGAACTTTTATTTCTTGTTTTATTGCAATTTGTAATTGTAGTGCCATTATTTTATTTCTTTGTTTTTTAATAAAAAATGTGAAATCTAATAGATTTAATATTGATAAGCAAACCATTAAACCAGCTTTTTTCCAACCTTCTTTGTATATATTAAAAAAAACCTTTGTTGGATATTAAATTTTGTGTTTACAAATCGGAATATTTGCAATTTAAGTTTCATATTTCAGTATTTTCATATTTTAAATTAAGCAATTAAAAGCAATACTAACGCATTAAATATGAATACAAAATACAGAATATACTTTTAGTGAGCGCAACAACTTATAACGCAAACTAAATATTAATAAATAAATGTATATAATACAAAAAAATATTTAACTAATTTTCATTTCAATTATTTATGTTCTAAGAATCAGTCATTTTATGCTGAATTTTCCAGCATATTCTCACGAATTTACATCGTAAATCGCCAGCACCAAGTGCCCCCCGTAACGCCAAGAGCTCCATGCCAATAAGAAAACCTTAATGTCTTGAGGATGAGGCCACTAAACAGGCACCCCTTGGAGCCCTCAGTGCTGACATACAGCACCATTACATGGCACAACCTTTCAACAGTAACATTTCCTTTTTGGTTTTTTTTTTGGCTCACTCCCCTGCCCCACTACGATGCTGGGAGTGTCTGCAACGCAGCATATCGCACTTGAGGGCATAGCAATGCCTACACACTGGACACTCGTGTGGCTTGAGCTGTAGGTGGTAGCCCTTGATGTGCTGCGAGAGGCCATTCCGTCGCTTAAAGACACGCTCACAGATGCCACACTTGTGCTGTCGCTCCGTCGTGTGGGTGATGTCATGCTGTCTTAGGCCACTGAGCGATCCGAATGACTTCTTGCACACACTGCAGGCGTAGGTAGTGCTGGTCACAGTTGCTGTTTGAGTTTGCGACTGGACAACAACAACTCTACGTGGCTTAGTGTGAACCTTTGCCTTGGACGGGGACTGGCGTGGTCGGCACTTGAGCTCGTGCCGACGATAGAGTCGCCAATGGGTGAAGGTAATGGCCTGGCAGTGACGGCACTTGAAACTCTGCAGACGCCGCGTGCTCCGCAGCGACAGGGACTGACAAATGTAGCGCATATGCTGTCGCAGACCCAGACGTGAGCTGAATAACTTCAAGCAGCCGCAGCATCTGGCGGCAAAGGGACGATTCAGCTTGGCAAAGTGACGCTTCAGTTGTCGATGCCGCAGCAGTCGTTGCAGGCCGGCAAATCCTCTTCCGCATTGGCTACAACGATGCCTGTTCGGGTTGCGTTGCGTTGTGTGCTTCAGTATCCTGCACTTTCGCTGCAGACGACGATACTGGAAGGCCAGCTTGGCCAGATTGGCCGTGACCACCGCCAGTTGAGGGTCTGCGTCATGATGCACTGCCACTGGCGCCGCTGCTGCCGCCGCTGCCGTCAGCTGTGCAGCTGTAGGTATAAGATCGGTGTGATGCAGAAAACTGCGCTGCATGTCTAGGATATCGATCTTTTTCTTTGCTGGCAGCTGAGTGGGCAGCGGACTGGCTGCTGCCGCTGTGTTTTGCCAGTCCGGTTGCCAGTACTCATTCTGTGGTGTGGCTGTCAGGCCCACGGAGCAGGCGCTGGCCTCCAGCTTGAGCTGATTCGTTGGCATGCTGGGCATGCTGATGTTTAAGGGTGGCACACTCACCATCGGTGTGGGAGTACTGTGGGCGTGCGTGTAATGCTGGCTCAGACCATCCACCGTAATGAACTTGGCCGTGCAGAGGCTGCAGTTGTGCAGCCGAAAAGCGGCCGAGGACTGCACCACGCTGTCGTTGAGCACCACAATGTTGGGCTTGGGCGGTGCAGTTGGGGGCTGCGGCAGCAGCTCGCACAGCATTTGATTCGGTATCTGACTGACATTGGTCACAATAGGCTTGCAGGAACGTGGCTCTGGTGCAGATGTGTGTGTGGGCGGTGGTGGCAGCATCAGCGGTGGAGGCTGTTCCGCCGCCTCTACACCTTCCACTTTCTCCGTTTTGTACTGATGCGGCGGCAGCACCCAATCCTCCTTGGCATAATTGTGCTCTTCGTTGAGCAGTTCCGATTGGAGCATCTCATTGGCCGAGGGCAGAGGCCCCGAATTGAGCGACTGCTTCGCCTGGGACTGGCCCACATCCGCATCATCCGGTATGTTGATAAACGGATCATCTAGATTAATTATCTCCATGATATCACAGTTGTTTATTATGTCCTGGGCATTCAGCATGGGAAAATCGCAGAATTGGAACTTCTGTTCAGTCTCGTCATTGGTGCCGGGCTCATGGTCGCAGCCATCGTCCAAGGCCATGTCCAGTTCATCGGGAAAGAGATTGTCCAGGCTCTCGCAGGCCTCCTGCTTCACTCGCACCAGTGGCTCCTGCTTAATCTTCAGCTGACGGCGGTACTTTCGCTGCAGTTCGCTTTGTGTCTGCAGCACCACATCGATGAATTGGGAAAAGCGTTCCAGCTGCTTGTAGCACTCCGAGCAAATATCCTTTGGCAACGTATCATCCTGCAGGATTTGTAGAGTGGGAAAGCACTTCTGAATCATGCCAAAGAGCTCGAAACTATTGTCAAACGATACACAATCCATGGCAGACGAACCGCAGAAGCGACAGGTGCCCTTCGTAACACTGGCTGGAGCCTCGGCAGCACTGGACAATGTCTGTTTGCTGGCTGACTCTTGCCAACGGCTGTTGGTCACCTGTTCCACAACCACATTCAATGATTCCGAGTCTGGCAAACGCACTGAAGGCACTGCATTCTTTTTAAGTGTTTTCCGGTTATGGCTGCAACTGAAATCCGTATTCACGAAATGGCGACTGCAGACAGCACTCCACCTGGATGGCATCCATTTTGCACTGCGCAGCGTAAACTCCTTCCACTTTTGAAACAAATCCTTTCGCTTGAAGGGAAATCTACAAGAGAAATCATCAAAATTTTATTTACACTTTTTAAACCCGAGGCCACCCACTTGTGGAATGAAACACTGCTGGCGTGCGCATATTTATCGTTGCAATTGACCACCGCGCAATAGGCGGGCATGTCTTAGTAAGGCCACCAAAAATCGTTAAGCTCCAATTTGCTATAGTTGAACAATTTGTTTTGTTTATTTATTCCAAACAATTTCGTTCAACAGCTGTTTCAATTTTGCCATTCACAGGGAAATGCATGGTGTGTAGTGCTATAAAGTGACGGTTGCTTTTATAGAGCGCCGCCACTCTGATACCCTCTCAGGTAAATCCAGCCTTATAAAATAGTTCAAGAAACTACCACTTGTGGAGTTCGGTTGATTCGGGAATTTTATCTTTTCAAACAATGAAATAAAATATGCTTCCACAAAATTATATTATTCCGTATTTTTAATAGACCTTTGTATAAAAAAGCCCCTGCACAATAACGTTTTGAAAATCCGTTTTTCTCTGCATTCTCCGCATTTCATACAAACCATTACACTCTCTGCAAGGGTAGGAACAGCTGATAGGAGCAGATGTTACCCCCGCCACCCAGCTCACCCATTTCTCTCGCATGAACACTTATCAATTAACGCTTTTATGACGATTCCCTGAGTATATCGCCTAGGCTGCGGCCCCCGTACGCATATTTGTTCTCGCCTCACGGAATTCTTCCACTGCTGCTGCTGGCTTTAGTCTCTCTGTTCGTGCGGTGGCGGTAAGTACATAAATTTTTCGGCAAGGTCAGACAAGGTCTTTGACATAGAAAAACGTAGAAAGTAAACGAGCGAACAATGGCACAAGTGAGACAACTATTACAAGTGGGCGGTCCACTGTTCGGACGTGGCTTGGCTAATGCCGGCGCTGCAACGACAGCCACCGCAGCATCGCAGAGAAGCCACAAACGGTGGCAGAGCTCCTCGGTCAGTGCAGGGTAAGAAATTCGTAGATAAGTTAAATTTGGGTGGCGCGTGTGTGGTAATAATGCTGCCCTCTTCCACCCCACCCAATAGTGATTACGATCTGGTTGTGGTCGGCGGCGGTATTGTGGGAGCGGCTTCTGCCCGAGAGATTCTACTGCGGCATCCCACGCTGAAGGTGGCCATTCTGGAGAAGGAGCCCAAGCTGGCGTTCCATCAGAGTGGACACAATTCGGGAGTCATTCATGCCGGCATCTACTACAAGCCAGGCACTCTGAAGGCCCGTCTCTGCGTGGAGGGACTGAATTTGGCATACAAATATCTGGATGAGCACAAGATTCCGTACAAGAAATGCGGCAAACTGATTGTGGCCACCGATGAGAAGGAGGTGAAACTGCTGGAGGATCTGCAGCAGCGTGGCATTGCCAACAAAGTGCCCGATCTGAAAATGATCGAGGGCGATGCCATCCGTGAGATTGAGCCTTTCTGCCAGGGCGTCAAAGCTCTCCACAGTCCACACACTGGCATCGTGGATTGGGCTTTGGTGACGGAGCACTATGGCCAGGACTTTAAGAAAGCCGGAGGTCGCATTTATCTGGACTACAACGTCAAGAAGTTCAGCGAAACAAAGGAGGGCAGCGCCGACTATCCAGTGACCATCCATGGCTCCAAGCCGGGTCAGCTAGTACGCACCAAGAATGTCCTCACCTGCGGCGGCCTACAGTCCGATTTACTGGCCGAGAAGACGGGCTGTCCCAAGGATCCGCGCATTGTGCCCTTCCGCGGGGAATACTTGCTGCTGTCGAAGGAGAAACAGCACATGGTGAACGGCAACATCTACCCGGTGCCAGATCCACGATTCCCCTTCCTAGGCGTCCACTTTACACCACGCATGGATGGCTCCATTTGGCTGGGACCCAACGCCGTGCTGGCCCTCAAGCGGGAGGGTTACAGGTAAGTCCACTCCGCTTATGAACTCAGACAGATTATACTGATTTTGTTTCCTTTTTGTTCCTTTTAGCTGGGGCGACATCAATCTCTTTGAGCTCTTCGATGCCCTGCGCTATCCCGGCTTCCTGAAGATGGCCAGCAAATACATTGGCTTTGGCGTGAGCGAAATGTCCAAGTCGGCGTTCATCAATCTGCAGATTAAGGCCCTGCAGAAGTACATACCCGACATCACCGAATACGACATTCAACGTGGTCCGGCGGGTGTGCGTGCCCAGGCCATGGATCTGCAGGGAAATCTGGTCGATGATTTTGTCTTTGATCGTGGCGTTGGTTCAGGTGCTTTGGCCAAGCGTGTTCTGCATTGCCGTAATGCACCATCGCCGGGTGCCACCAGCAGCTTGGCCATTGCCAAAATGATTGCTGATAAGATTGAGGGGGAATTTTCCATTGGCAAGTGAGCAGAAGACGGAAGAAGATGGAATGTTGTTTGTTAATTTTGCTCCTAAGAATTGCTTTTGCATTTAAAAGTTATTTTATTATATAAAACCATTTAATTGAGTTCCAAAATGTGAGGATTCCTCCTGGCAGAAGGCTTATCCTTGATGCCCATTACCCTTATTTCCTTGTGCAGTTCCCTTGCCTCTAGGCAACTTTGAATGAGCTTTCGGCACTTGTCATTCAAGATCTTTAGACCATTGGCTGCATGCTGACGCATGGCTGGATCACAGGATTCCTCCGCTTCAATCGCTCGCAGCAAACGATAAATGGGCAGCAGCATATCCTCGTAATCCAAGAGATTCTCCATGCCATTCAGTAGCTCAGCTAATACAACGACAGCCGCTCGTTTAGTGGGCAAATATCCTCCTGTGGCACTCAGTTCGCTGTTGATGAGATCCATCAGCTCCTGGAAAAAGTTCTGCACCTGATAGGCCAACAAACGGCAGAGCTGGGCGAGATTGGCGAAGGCGGACATGCGAAACTCATGGAGAGGCGAACGCGAGCCATGCATGAAGCAATTGAGAAGCACAGCCTTGTACCTATAGCATAGGGGACCTGGAAAGTGGAACCTTTAAGAAGTCTTCCCATCAAAACTGGCCATCTAGCACTTACCTAATTCCTGGGCGGCCTTGAGGATAGCCTCGCCGACAACCAGACGATAGTCCAGATCGGCTGTCTCCGACAGATATTCGTCACTCAATTTATCCAGCACTTCGGCTTCCATCACATGAACCAGTGCCACAAACAGACGCACACAATTTAGGAACGTATAGGACTCCTTATCCTTGAGTGTGCTGAGAGCCAAAGCTATGATTAGATGACCCTGGGCCATCGTTGCGGGATCCTTTCGTTGCAGTAGAACCAACAACATTTGTATGCCATAGACTTGCAGATGGGACTCTTTCTCCTCGATGAGGGAACGCGCTTTATGGAATGGCTGCAACTTGAGAGCTTCACTGGGCCGCCACTCGCCCTGCAATATATTCATCAGAGATTGAACGGATTGCTGGATAAACTGGTTGGTTGACAGCGATCCCAGCTGGTGGAGTTGCGCCTGAAGTTCCCTTGTGCTTTCGGTTAGCTGCAAATCTTTGCTGCGTTGCAACAGTTCCTGCAGAAGGTTGAGTATGAGGAGTAGGGTCTGATCAGTGTCCTCCTCCTCTGCTGCCAATCGCTGCTGCAGCAAATCCTTGAGCAGCTGCAGAAATTCTTTGGTATGCATTGCCAACTGTGCACGCAGCGGCTGATGTGACACCAACTGATTAAGGGCTATCAGCAGATGCAGCTTTAACTGATATTTATGCTGAAGGAAGTGCATGAGTTCCGTTTCCGTGGACAGAAAATCCACGCCTAAGGGGGATTTCTCCTGCAACTGTCGAGTCATAAAGCCCAACAGTGCCAGGAATACATTGCAGGTGAGCGCATGATGCGAACTGGACATTAATAGACTGGGCAGCACTCGGCCCATGTCATGGTCTAGCTGGTGATCCGCAGGGGCTACTTTCACTTGTATCCGAATCGTTTGTGTGGAGGGCAGGATCAATATGCGCTGGTGAAGGCACAGCCAGATGGGTTCCTCTTCGAGTTTCCACTTGAACAGACGTTGCACGACCTCTGGCAGTTCCTTTTCCCGCTCCCGATTGTCCAGACAGCGGGATATGATCGCAGCCAGCTGATCCCTGGCTGGCAGTTCCCTAGGCAGACCATCGTACAGCTGCAGAAGCAGTGGCAGATATCGTGTGAGCAGGCTACTCGGCAGACAGGCAACGCTGGAACTGCAGAATAGATGTTGCCAGAGGAGGATGCGATTGCACAGCTCCTCGTGCTCCATCAAGATCAGGCCACTTATCAAATCTTCTGGATCAGCGAGCACCTGCCAATGGGTGGACAGAATCGCCTCAATCTGTTGCTGGTTTTGTGCACTCAACTCGTAAAATCTCCGCAGAGACAGGACACCCACACACATCCTGTCGGCATCCGTCAGAGAGCCACTACAAAACTCAAGAACCTGAAGGATCATTGCTTGCTGAGCTGACTGTGAGAAGCCCTTCCTAGCCACGATACTAGCCACGATCTCAGCATTTCTCGTGGCACTCACATTCGGTGTCTGCTGCAGGGCATCCACAAAGCTGGCATACCCATGCGTTGAGTTTAGCTTTCCCAGCAGCTGCTGGTGCAGGGCCTTGGCCAAAGGTGCGCACAGTGAAGTGGCCTTTAATAGAAGCACATGGCGAAAGAAATCCGATTTGGATTCATGCCGCCAGAGATAGGCAAGGACTGCCTCCAGCTTCGGATGATCCATTTGGAGGCGCAGACTCATAATGCTTGCCAGCAGGTCCCTCTTTAACAACTCCATGGAGTTGGCAATATGAAATTGGCGTATGGGTAAAACCCGCACAAAAAACTGAATGCTGAGGAGCAGCAGCGAGGGATTACACTTGACTTTGCCTTGTGCCTCTTTGAAAATTGGTGATTTAAGGAAATCCTCGTGCAGCTGGCAGCGAAGTGCATAGTAGGACAGCTCCTGGGTGGCTTGAATGCACAGCTTGAGGTGTGCCACCGATATAAGGTCCTCCTTGGCATCGCTGTCAAAGTTTATCTTTGAAAAGAGCATCTGGAGCGCATGCTGAAGGCGGATAATGTAGCATGTAGCGGGATCTGAATATTTTATGGGGGCCTCCTCTTCGGCTGTTAGCTCGAATATTGTGCAGAGATCGTGCAGCTGTTGGTCAACGTTTTGTTTGGCATATTTCTCCAAAATGTTCAAATTCTGAGAAATCGAGGAACCAGCACCCGGCTGACTGGCGTTTGCCTTATTTGCTGTAATAGAAAGACAAATTATTTATAGTATATACAGCTAACCACGCTAGTCCTTACCTAGAGCCTGTTCAAAAGTTAAACTTTCCAGCAGGGCAAAGTATTTTGCCGAATTTATCATTATAATAATCCGAATTTAATTTAGTTGCACATGTATCGACAACATATGGATTCAGAGTATCGATGTCCACTATCGATAGAACACTACAGACCGTTTGGTCAGCTGAATAATCAGAAGCTGCTGGAGTACATATTTTTAGATGTGAAACATACCAAAAATATGTTCGCTTTTCCCTAAACTTAGTAGAGCAGTCCCGTTGAGGATATGTCTATCATTTATCCACATCAATATATTTTCCAGGTGCAAAAATATATCACCTGCAAGCACATCTATCGATATATTGATCAATATTTATCTAACATCCCTAGAACAACTTTCTTTTTCCTCTGCTGTGTGTGTGAATGCAAAAAATATAGAGTGCGCAAATAATTAATTAGAAACACCAGTAGGACTCCAACGTTAATTAATTGGCTTGCGGCTGTGACGCGGCGCGCTTCTATACTCCACCCAATAATTGCCAAAAAAGGAAAAGAAACGGGAACACCTACGCGAACGCAATTAAAAAGTGTGATTTTGTCTGAGTGTGAATGCGAGTGTGTGTGTGAGCTGCTGCAGTCGACGTCCCTGCCGCTGTGCAGTAAACAAATCTCGCAAAAAAAGGAGAAAATGAAGAAAATCCTATCGAAATTCGAGCGCAATGAAAACTCGAGACTGGAAAATTCGCACAACACCAGCTCTTCTTCATCGAAGGAGACGAATAGCTTCGTGGGCAAGGTTTTCACAGTTGGACGTGTCACGGTCACTGTCGAGGATGTCCTGGCCGAAGGTGAGTGGCAGTCTCGGTCTCTTACCCCGCCCCCGCTAAGGAGTATGTTCTATGTCTTATCTAAGCACACGTAGCAGTGTGATTATGGTTATCACAAGTTTGATTTACAGGTGGGGGCAGAGGCAGGCAGTAGATCCATTTGCTTAGTATCTCTTTTCATGCTACAGATTAGATAAAATACAAATGAACAAACGTATCTCGACTGTCTCCAAAATGTGGGGCGTACACTTAGTAGAACAAAAACAGCTGCGTATCGTATCCCCCCTAATTAGATACGCGGCGCCACTTGTCGGCGTGCATTTCCAATTTCCCCACGAGACAAAAGAGTTAGTTGATCTCAGTTCAGGTTAGGTTTTCCATGGAATATAACTATGTATGTACATACAGGGAATACATGGTCACAAATCAATTGAATCAATTATGTTAATTTAGCCAATGAAGCGGCAAGACCAACACTTAACTCCCACTGCCCCTCCTGGCTGTGTCTCCTTTTGGAGCAGCAGCAGCAGTGAAATGTCAAAGTTCGCACAAGGAAAATCGCCTGAAAATGCCGACTATCCATGCACTTTGTCCTTGTCCTTGAATTCTGAAATGATTAATATCCTGCACTGCAAGTGGCTCGGTCGGTCTTTGAATGACTTGGCAAATACTACTCCTGACAATTGATCATACGGGGATTGGTCATAGAAAACTTTTTCCTGCCTTTTACTTGCGCACATTCGATTTTTTATACGATTTTGGCAAGCGATTGGTAATGTTGTTATTGCGTTGCGCTGGCGCCGCTGTCAGACGACAGTCAGCTGTTAGGATACCCTACACTAACTGAATGGGGGGAGGCGTATCAGTTATGTTACCAGGCAAAGGTGTGTAGGGATTGTTGTACCACGATTTGCCTCTATTTTAGACAGAGCATAATTCAGCTGAAAGTATGCATACAAATAAATATAACAAATACCCAAATTATATTAGAATAGTAATACGGGAGCGCGTATTCTGTCATGAAGTCTCTCGGTATCTTATTGCCATCGTCTACTCTATTCTGGCAACACCAGCAAATGCAAATGACTAAGAGACAGACGGTTACGGTGCCTCGTACCTCAGAGGCCCCTACCTCTGTCCTACAGTCTGTGCAATGCTTTCGGCGAACTGGTCGGGTCGCTCGCTCTCTCCCTAGTTGGCATCTCGAATTGCCTTCTCAAGTTTTTGTTTAGGTATGTTTCAATTGTGCACTATTATTGCTGCTTTTATTACTATTATTATTTCTGTTGATTTGTTGCTGTGGCGCGGAGCTGCCAACCTTCAGCATTGATTAACATTTGACACCACAAAATTTCACAAATACCAACTAAAAAGTCGGTGCAAAAAAATCGAGCAAACGGTTACATACGGTGTGTGCCCCGTTATTTTCTCTCTCTCTGGGTGTATGTCTCAGTCGCCCCCAGTGGGGTGCTTGCCATGCTAATATTGTTATTGTGTTGCATGTTGTTACTATTGTTGTAATTTTTGTACGTGACCTTCAATAGTTTATAGTTTTTATTGCGTTGCTTTTTTTTTATCGTGCTCTACTACACAGTTGAAGTGCCTGTGCTGCAGGGGAGTGACAGGTTGATGGGTTCAGCTGTGGAGGTGTGGAGGGGAACATACTTGAATTCTATTTGCAATAAAATTAAATAAAATTCATGCAAATGGATTGTTAGGCAAAACATGTGTAAATCGTTCCATGGTCAATCATAGTTGGTGGAAGAGAGTAGGCGATAGTAACTTCTACCGTTGGTTTTCAGTATGGTACCCCATATTTGAGGAGAGTGGATTGACTTTCCGTGTGCCGTTCGGCGTCGAAATGAAACGAAGTTGGATTGGTATATGAAATGCGCTTGTAAAAATAACATACTAACGGTGATACTCGTATAGGATAATCAATGGGTCGAGTCTGCTCGCCATACACGTATGAAACATTCTCTCTTATTTGTTGTTTACCGTTTACAGTTGACAGCTGCTTCAGTCGTCTAGTATTTTATCTACCTCTTTCCCCCTACTAATGCTATCCACCTGTCTGTCTCCATCCTACTCACGCAGGTGGCTTCGCCATGGTCTTTCTGGCACGAGGCAATGGCGGCGGCGGCGGCTCCTCCTCTGGAAAGTACGCCCTGAAGCGCATGTACGTGAACAATGAGCACGATCTGAATGTAGCCAAGCGGGAGATACAGATTGCTGTAAGTAAATAACGAAAAGTAAATCAATTTCATTGTTTGCAACATAAGTGCATTATTGATTCCTCTGGTTCTATCCATTGACAGAGCAATCTCAGTGGCCACAAAAACATTATTGGCTATGTTGACTCGAGCATAACCCCCACAGGGAACGGTGTGTGTGAGGTGCTGCTCCTGATGCCATACTGTAAGCATCACATGCTGGCCATGATGAATGCAAGGTAACTCACAGCACTTCATTAAAGATATACATATCTTTGAATGTTAATAAAACAAATTTCATACTTTAAAGATTACACGTTGGCTTCACCGAGCCCGAGGTGCTAAACATCTTCTGTGATATTGCCGAGGCTGTCTCTCGTTTGCACTACTGTCAGACGCCCATTATACATCGCGACCTTAAGGTGGAAAACATTCTCCAAACGGATGCGGGCAATTTTGTACTCTGTGACTTTGGCTCGGCCACAGCCAAGACGCTGAATCCCCAGCAACACGGCGTCACTGTGGTCGAGGAGGAGATCCAAAAGTACACCACACTTTCCTATCGAGCGCCCGAAATGATCGATCTGTACAGCGGCAAGAGCATCACCACGAAAGCAGACATTTGGGCACTGGGCTGTATGTTGTACAAACTGTGTTTCTTCTCCCTGCCCTTTGGGGAGAGCACGCTGGCCATACAGAATGGACAGTTTGCCATACCGGACAGTTCCAAGTACTCGAAGGGCATGCATCAGTTGATCAAATATATGCTGGACACCGACCTGGAGCATCGCCCGAACATTTGGCAGGTGTGCGAAGTGGCTTTTCGACTCGCCGGCAAGGATAATCCCGTACAGAATTTGCATGTAAGATTAGGCCTAGCGCCGCTTAGATTTTTAATTGATTACTGTAAATTAAATTCTCGTATTACAGAAAACACCCATTCCAAATTTCGATCAGCTTCTGGTGCCGCCTTTTGAATCGGAGGCAAAGCGGATCAGTGCTGCCGCATCCAAGGCAGCCAAATCGCAGAATGTGTCAGTTATAGAGGCAGGCACAAGCGTAGCTCCACGCTCCAGGCCCAAGGGCTCCAGTTCCGTGCATGGTGGGAATGCCTTGGGTCTTGGTCTACCGCCCAGTCCCTCGCCACGTCTGAACATTACTTCACCCCAGCCCCAGAACCAGCCTGTTGTGGAGCAGTTTCAGGCAAATTTCCCAGCCATGCCGTGCCCGGCAGTTCCTCCTCCTCCACCTGCAGCTGTGGCACCGGCTGAGACAGTTGTGGCAGCAGCTGCAACCAACAATCTATTCGAGTCGACTGGCTATCCGGATCCGTTTAATGAACCAGCGCAGGCCCCAGCAGCAGCACCTGCAGTAACAGCAGCAGCCACTGTTCCAGCCCCCGAGGAGCAACCCATACCGGAGGAGGTTCAGGTTGTTGTAGCGGCTGCTCAAGAGTCTTTGGTAGTCTCTGGCGGCACACCCACAAAGCATATGCTGACGCCACCCAAGCCCAGCGGCGTTGGGGGACATCGGCGTAATGTCAGCGATACATCGGCATTCAATAAGTAAGTAGGGACGCGATTCCCTCCCCAGATCTCGCGCACGATCTCTATGTGTTCTGTGTTCTGCTCTTCTCTTGCTCTCACTCTTTCTGCTTGTCTCTTTTTCTGTGTGTTGTGTGCGTGTTTCCATTTCTTAAGAGCTACAAATAACCTGGACAATGCCGATGATCCGCAAAGTCAATAGATATTTTGTAGCCTTAAGATTTTGTCTTTCTTTAAGCTCACATTTTACAATTCCTTTTACTTTTGCTTTCTTTTTTTGTGTCATATCCATGCCATCTGCTTGATCATTTAAATCATTCACTCATTCATTTATTTTCGTTGCGCTGTAGAACGTTTGCCAATGAGACAAGTCAGTTTTTGGCCCCATTCAACAATAATCTGGCCAGCATGGGCGATGGGCCGCAGACCACATTGGCAAGTGCCACCTCCAATCCTGGTATATTTGCCTCGTCTGCCTCGATTTCGATCAGCGAATTGTCCCGTCAGACAATGGATAAGCGTGTGGAGGCCTGGAATCCGTTTGAGGAAGAGCAACCGTTTAGTCAAATGACCGAAG